TATTTGTTCGTAAGTAAATCGCTTTGGCTGAGATTAAGGCTGAATAAACCTCAAACAGAAAACTGATTAAACAGAAGTGTGAGATGATAAAACATTTACGCCAGTGCCCTGTTATATTTTACATAGCAAGGAGCAGTGTGTGCGCATGTGTGCGTGTGTGCGCATGTGTGCGTGTATGTGTGTGTGTGCGTGTATGTGTGTGTGCGTGCGTGTGCGTGCGTGCGTGTGTGTGCGTGCGTATGTGTGCGTGCGTGTGTGTGTGTGCGTGTGTGTGTGCGTGCATTTATATGTGGAAAGGAAAGAAATGTGTAAACATGAATATGCTGTAATAGAACTAAAGTATCCACTTATAACCACGAGTGTCTTGTAATGTCTGTTTAAAACATGGTACATAGTCATTTGTATTGTAATTTAACCTGAAACCTCTGAATGTAATACTTTTATAAGCAGATTTTCCACATGCAGATCAGTGAAGTTCCTGCCTCTGTAACATTAAAAGTGTACAGAAACAAGCTGCACTGGCATTGTTTTCATTTTGAATATTTAATGTTTAAAATTTTACGTGAGTAGTACATTTCTAAACAAACTTCACTTCATGCTGGTGCATTATGTCATAAGCTAACATCATCAGTTGTCACCTTTCAGTCTCTGTCCTGTCTGAAAAACCCATCAGATTAATTTATCATTAGGATTCCTTTTAGTTTTAATTATCACAAGATTACAGAACACAGAATGGAGTGAAAATAAAATATTTATTACATTAAATTGTAACAAAAAATCTTATAAGTTATAAAGCTTGTAATTACTGTAGCACGCAATGTTAAAAGAAAATATATCCAAACAATACAAACTTTACATAAACCTTGTGTTGATCTTAACTTCCACTGGCACGTGGTGCTCAGGCACCCCTTGATATATATATATAGCCCCTTTTTCAGTTTATACAACTCAATAACAGATAAACAGTAAAATAACCACTCAGTTTATTTGTCAACTTACCACTTAGTATGCCTCTGACCAGTAAGGGAGAGCAAGTCTGCTTTACTCTGTGGCTCCTTTTGGGCTTTTATGCAGGGTGCTCATTTCATGCAGCGTGAAAAACGTGTTGTTTGGGTACACTCCAGCAGCACTACATCGAAACCTGAAAGAGGTCCACTGTCACATGTTTAACTATTGCCAATCCAAGTTATCAGTTATTGGCAAGCTAGTGATAACAGTAGCTATAGAGAGTACAGAGTAGACAATTGTTGGAGGAGAACTTTGGAACTTTTTTCAAGTTGTCATGATTGACAAAATGTGTAATTTGACACATTTTGTCAAATCACAAAATGTTACAGGTCATATTTAAAAGCAGCTGTCGAGAGAACCTGAAGTTTTCAGGGAAGTTTTCAGAACACATTTCTATCTTTGTTTGTGCTGGAGAAGAAAGTGAAACATATGAGTTAAAAGACTCACTTTGTGCAGACTCTTCAGCGATGACTGAATTGCAACTGATTATGCTGAAAGCGATTTATTAGATTTTTATACTTGGAGAAAAAAGACAGAGAAAAGTAATCACATTTAGAGGTACATGGAGTTTAGAGTTCCTTTTTATACATATTAATTTAAAATAATAATTTTGTCAATAAGATAATTTTTAAAATGTATATTTAACATTTGTACATGTACAATTCAAAATCTTCAAATTTGAAACACACTAGATTGGCAGAGACTTTTGTGACACGCGTCAAGTCAGCGTTCGAGCTCGTCATGCCCAAATCAGCACAGAGAATCACGAAATTCTCTAATTCATTTAAATTAGTCTGAAAGGACAGATGTCGTGATCCTGGCTGACTCGACAGCCAGTCTGTTGTTATTTTGTGCCATAATGTCTCTGGAGACTTCGCATTTTCTCCAGAGTAATCGATTTGATAATTGAGAGACAAGCTCGCATCTATTAAATACTTTTTCTAAATCAGTGCTACAAAAATATTGTCACGTGTTGACCAGATTCAAACGTAGAAACTCAGTTGTGCAAGTAAAGTGATTTTATTTACAGTGAAGGTGAGTTGTGCTATTTATAAAATCTTCTAGTTATTCACAGTTCAAGAGTCTCTTATTTACAAGGTCCAACAAGGGAGGTGATTCCAAGGTTTTCTAGAGATTCAACGTTTCCAGAAAAGGAATTCTTTGTGGTCAGTGTGTTGTACGTTTGTGTACTTGGGGGGGTTGACAGCAATATTAGTGTTTATGAGGGTTTCTTTTCTTTGCCCCTTTTGTTTGATACAATCATTTGTCTGCTAAAAACAACAAAAACACCAACACCCCAATATTATCAGTATGTGCAACTCACTTCGTATAATTATTAATACTACTACTATTA